ACAGGGACTTTGTCTGTACTGGAGCTCAGCGGGTCCAGCCTCTTCTCATTCCTAATCTCTAATGCAACAGCTTCATATTCTCCTCTCTGCACATGTGGAAGATTAATCCCTGTGCAAATGCCACTGTAGTATTGTGAGAACAAAAATAGCAGTACTATTCTTCTGTACACTTCTTTTAATCCACTGCCACAGAGAAGCCATTATAAACACCTGTTTCATTATATGGGCTACAGAGTTTCTTGTACTTTATTTTCATAAAAATGCATTTTCTTTTAATGTCCTTTTCATTTTCTGTGACATACCAGAATGTCATTGAATTCTGAATGTCACCAGAATGGCATTGAAATGTATAGGAGCAACTCACAGCCTCTTGAAGTAAACGATAGATATGGATATGTTCTAATTAATTTGAAATAAAGATCATTTCAAAAGACCTAATCCTGTAAAGGCTCCTGGTGAAGGACATTTAAAACCAGAAATGGGAAAAGAAATTTTCACATATTTCTTTTGTAAGATTGAGCATGACAGCTGCACGTTCCTAACATAAAACTGCAACAAAACTTCTGAAAAATTCATCAAAGAAATTTGTCCAGCTCAGTATTCTGTAAACATCACATCTGAAGACTTTACTCACTGAAAAACATTGCTCTTGACATTTTAGTGCTGCTTGTATAGTTGTTAACTAGAACTGGCTTAACGCAGTAGTCAGTGCAGTTATCCCTTTCTTCTGTGTTTACAAATGGTCTGCAAACAGGCTCTGCAGTTATTATTAATTTTCATCCTTTTTTTTTTCCCCCCTAGTTTCAATTATTCTGCTTCACATAGCCTATGATATGAATGCTTCAAGAATCCACCTGAAAGTTGCTTTTATGGTGAACAAAGCTGTTGCATCGACTTTGCTGACTGACCGGGTAATCCTCCTGTGCTGTAGTTTCCAGTCGTCTTCCCTGAGTGTCCATATGAATGAATCTTCATCCGTGCAAAAAGAGTGAATTAAAATATGGTATAGGAATTGATGACTTCTTTTTGATGTATTTTCATAAAGTAGATGGTACTAGAATACAAACAATATGGAAGGCATTCACTTCTTTAAAGCAAATAATTTTATCTCTATCTTGTTATGGAAATTTAATGCTCTTTATAAAGCTGTTGTATTAAAACGCATTTTCTGTGCAGAAGTGAACAGAACATTTCCTGGGCTTTGGAGTCTGTCCTGGTCCTGTTTCTGTCAGGGTTTGCTTGGTCTGGATGGAAGAAAAGTCCACACAGAAAAGGCCACAAGGAGTGCTAAAACCTGTTTTGTCAATTCCAGGGTTTTTTTTCCTAGCACTTCGCTCCCTGCTGTGAGCCATCACCCCTCACCTCACCTCTGCTGCAGTGCCCTACTTCTTCAAACAATTTTACACTAAGCTTGCACCTGCCCTTAGAGCTGCTGGATCCCAGCTCCGCTTACAGTCAGAGTTTGGGAGCCCCACCTCTCCTCCCGACACCATGCCTCACCTCACCGCTCAGCACCTCTTCTCCTGCCGCTGTGCCTTGTTGCACTGCACCTTGCCTCACACCATCGCAACGCACCCCTTCTCACCTCACCGTGTTTCACCAGGCCTCGCCTCACCTCACCTTGTCTCACCACTCCTCACCTCACTGCTCTGCGCCTCGCCTCATACCATCCCGCCACGTTTCCTGCCTTGCTGCTCTGTGCCTTGCCTGTTCATGGCACCTCTCCTCAGTTACAGCACCTCACCTCAGTGCTCGTGTTCTCTCCTTTTCCAATCAGTGGGAACTTCACTGGACTGCCACAACTTCTCAGATATGATGGATAGTGCTTAGCAACTTCATCCGCCAGTTCCTTCAGGACCCACAGATGCATCTCATCAGGTCCCATGGACTTGTGCACCTTCAGGTTCCTTAGAAGGTCTTGAACCTGATCTTCTGCTACAGTGAGTGGTTCTTCATTCTCCCAGTCCCTGTCTTTGCCTTCTGCAACTTGGGTGGTGTGACTTGAGCACTTGCCAGTGAAGTCTGAGGTAAAAAAATCATTGAGTACCTCAGCCTTCTCCATGTCCTGGGTAACCAAGTCTCCTGTTTCCTTCCAGAGAGGGCCCACGTTTTCCCTAGTCTTCCTTTTATCACTGACATACCTATAGAAGCTTTTCTTGTTGCCCTTGATGTCCCCAGACAGATTAAATTCTATCAGGGCTTTAGCTTTCCTAACCTGATTCCTGGCTGCTCGGACAATTTTCTCTGTATTACTCCCAGGCTACCTGTCCTTGCTTCCACCCTAATTTTCACTATTGTCATGTCACACAGTAGTGAAAAAGTGAAAAATCAACCACGTATCTCCTGGCTTTGGAGATGCCATACAAATGATCCACACAAGACGTACTGTCCCAGAAGGCGGCCGCCTGCCAGCTGGTCTCCACAGCGGCCGGTGGGTGCTAGCAGCTCCTGTGAACAGCACACAGCAGCAGCGGCTGCAGGCAGGGTTTGCTGAGGGCAGGCAATGGCACCACGGAGTGCTCCCAGTATCTTTTGTGTCCCCGGCGTGCGAGGCAGCGTGGGGGGCTGCCATATAGTAAGGCGCTGGGGGCTGGGTGGTGCGAGGAGGAGGCGCAGCACACCTGAAGGCAGAGCCATTCCCGGTGATGGGCACTGACGCTTCTTCCTTCCTGCTCTGCCGCCATGCAGCTGGTGCAGGAGCTGTGGAGCAGGGGCCAAAATGCAGTGCTGCATGCACGTGCGAAGGAGGCTGCATCTCAGGTGCCTGAGAAATGACAGAACTGAGTTCACCAACATCTGCAGCAGAGGCTGCGTAAACGCTGCGAGGGGTACAAATACTTGCACAAGTGCTGCGCTGCCATGGTGGCCATGACAGCCACTGAGAGGCCCTGCACCAGAGGCGGGAACGTCTGGCCAGTCCAGCTGCAGGCCCTTCTTTCAGAGCAGCTCCTAAAAGCACGGGCTATGAAGAAAAAGGCTGATCTAGCTTATTTGGCAATCAAAGGTAAAAATCCTAATATGATTAACACCCTGCTGCATGAATGGATCAGAAAATGTTCAGAAAGCTCCACTGGTAGGAAAAGACAAAATGCATCCACTGCTGAGTTCCTGGCATAGTCCAGGCTGTCGAGGGGGATGTGTGCTGAAGCAAACGTGTCCTGGCAGGCCTTTTTACCCCAGTATTCTCTAGCAGGTGGGAAAGGTGGCCAAAACACTTCTCTTTGGCTACATACCCATGGCTGCATTTTAGAAATTCCAAGAAAAACAAACAGCGCTAAGCTAATAAAAGCAGTGGGAGAGGCGATAGATACCCATCTCCATGCTGCTTTTCCAGCTCTTCCAGTTGCTTGGCAACTAGCTGTGGAGGATCAGTCACGAGGCTGGTGCCTTTTTGCAAATATTTGGTTGAATATCACAGGGTGTGTTATCAAAGCAGTTCAAAGTCTTCTGAAATACATCCTTGGTTTTATGTGTAAATCAGTGCAAATAAATGGGTGAGCTCGTGCTGTGTCAGGAACTATTGTAGGAGTGCAAGTTTGTTTACAATGGGATGCAGCATGGTGAAGATTTTATATATTTACATATCTTCTTTCCTGAAATCCTGAACTGAGAAAAGTAAGAACTTCTTATACACAGAACAGCTGCCAAGGTCAATCAACACACTTTAAATATATAAATA